GCTCCTCATTTCGGCATCTACCCTCTCGCATTAAAATTTATAAAAATTCCCCTGTACCGTAACTGGCCCGAATCCTAACCAAAAAGTAACAGATCGCAAGTGAACTACATCAAACGTTTTGTTCATGAAACAAATATCAGCGACATTCTTTATCTTTGGTGTTATATTTCATTTCATGATTATTATTATTGTTATAACTATTATTATTTCATCTTGCGTGACGAATAATGCTCATTTTTTTTAACTGAAATGTAAGCACATGTGCGCTACACAAGTTACACAAATGCAAATACAACTGGAAGATGGCCAAAACGGTCGATATAAGAAAAAAACATCGTGAGGTAAATTCAGAAGAAAAAAACCTCATTTCGCAAACTTCAAAACAATGATCCAAATAGAACTGAGCAACGAGCGTGCGTGCAAAACAGTTAAGTTTCTCCACGCAGCACTAAATCCAACCGAGGATCTCAAGATCTTGTGAAAAAGACTACCACTGGGTGGCCACCATCATACGTGTCACAGGCTAAACCTACCAGCGCGGGTATATGCAAACCGATAATCGCAGCAAGTACCACACTGTCAGATAAGTCCGTGTCAAAGTTAATCACTCGTCTCTCGTCCAGCGATCCCGCTCCGGTCCCCATCGCCCACGAGTCTCGATTGCGTGCATGTTCGTATGCCTGGTTCAACCATGTCAAAAGTGTACGTTCACTGGAAGCGTAGCAGTTTGAATTGCTCAAACGTCGTGGGCTGTGTGCTAGTACGACTGGTCGATCAACCGGCCCAATTGGTCCGCTTGGTGGTGGCGGCGGTGGTGGTTTCTCCGTCGAAGTACCAAAACCACCGCTCGTCGTCAACGTGTTTGTGGCCGTGGTGCGTGATGTTTTATTCGAGTCGAGTGTTTCACTGGTACCCGTTTGAGAGGTAAAGTGTTGTAATCGTTCCAAATGTTTCGGTTTCAGACGTTGAACCACAAGACACTGTTTGTGGATGGTGGGGGATGGATAGGCGAGATAGAATATATTGCAATTTTCTCGTGAACATTGATATGAGTCTTTAGTTCATTCTAAATGTGATAGTTTTCTCCACATCACATCACTGACCGATACCATATGATACGTCCTGCATAACATCAATCACACAGTACAGGTGATTTAAAGCCTGCGCTGAAAGTGTAGCTTGAACGAAAGACATTTATTATCAGACTGTAGGCCCGCCATGAAATAAAAGATTTCATTTTTTTATACGTGGAAACCATGGAAATCATCTTAGTTAACCAGATTTAGTGGGCTGGTATTTCGAAACATGTCCCCTAATCATTGACACAGAATGGAAAAATGGCTACGCCGTATGCAAAGTAGCTGCTACGCCAAAAAACGAGTAGACTAGAGGTAACGCAAGCGTCAAAAGTCCATGGTGCAGCCCGATTTTGAAGGCTAATTGGATGTCGATTTCCGATTGTGTTCGTGTAAATAGAGTTTGCACGGATGTTCAATGCAAACCAGTCACATATATATTTATCTATCTATTCCACACCATTGTATTCAAAAGCAACTGCAAATTGAGTGCAAGTGGAAGTTAAAAAAGGATTATTTTCTTTAATATATCCGGACCAAATGATGTTAGATGTGCACCAAAAAATCGATGCGCCATGTGTTGTGTTTTACTGTGAATGTTATAATGATTCTCGGAGATTTCAAGAACGATTCACGAAAATTTACCTCCAGTGTTCACCATACATTCGAATAAACTTCTACATTTAGTATCAGCTCGTTTGCAATGTGTTAAGCGGACTATCATCTCCTCTCTGACTGACAGAGTTGAAAAGCTCTGTAATAAATGTAATAAATGGAAACAAAACACCTCAATGAAGAGGACAATCTCATTATCCGCCACACCTGGTAGGATGCCAGCTAAAAACGAACGAACCCATGATGCAATCTAAAGACAAAACGACCATGTAGCCTTTTGTGGGATTCGATATAGATCAGATATTTCAGAAGCAATCAGAAAGATTATCGGAGATTTCTACGGGTTGACAATACTCTGAAACGCCACCTGATGAAAGCCAAAGATTCGGTCGAATTGCAAGTTCAAAACAACCACATATACAAAATCAGTTGTGAAGAATGCCCCTGGGTAAACCAGTAGACAACTTAAGTCAAGGACAAATCAACTCTGGCAAAACTATTTGTATTTGTATTTG